CCCGTCGGCCGTTGGAGGGGAGGCCCCTGCGAGTGAGCCGCCCCGGCCTGCTGCTCAACTGAAAGGCCCGGAGAGGCCGCGGGGAGCTGGCCCCCTGCTCGGTGCCTGTTGGGCAAAGGCCATCGGGGGGTATTGTCTCTTCCGGCAAAAGTCAACTTTTTCTTTCATTTTCCCCCCCCTCCTCAAGGTGCGATGCCGCCTAAGGATCGCGGCAGAGGCAAGCTGCCGGTTCCTCTCCCAAGAGACATGATACTGAAAGACACGGAAGGAAAAAGCTGGAGGCTGGGCAGTCAGATCGGCCAGGGAGGATTTGGCTTGATTTATTTAGGTAAAATACCGGCGGTGATTGGAAGGGTGACTTGCAAATTTCTTTGTAACTTTCTGATATGAATAAGACAGAGTGGGTTTAAAAAGTTACTGCTGTTTACGTGGCGGTGATCATCTGTGTCTAAGTGTGCTTTTCTGAAGTTTGCAGTGTCCTGTTGGGCATCCTTGTTGTTCAAAGTGTTGCTGATGGTGCAGTGTCTTCTCCATGGGCTGTCCAGCCCAGTTTGGTGGCTTCTAGTGCACTTTTCTGTGGAGCTTGTGTGCGGCAGGCAAGATGCTGCTGCTTGTCAGGCTACCGAAGAGCGCTGCCAGGCGATGCTCTTCAAAGTAATGGTGATGCTTTTGTGAGCTGCCACTTTGGACTTGTGCCAGTCTTGTGCTCTGGAGCGCTCTGGGTTTTTAGGTGTTGGAAATGTTATCTTCTGGCCAAGAGTAATTCAGTTTTCATCCAAGAAGCATAACAGTAACAATAGTTAGCTGGGTGTTGCCTCTGAATTAAAGTCTTTCACCAGAGGTGGAAATGCTGTTCTTTATTTGCTCTAGCCTAGATATGTTTCTGTATTTTCTTCAGAAGAAGCTGCTGCATTTCACTCAGTCTGTGTTTTATAAGGAATGAATGGTTCTGAAAGGCAGTTTGTAAAGAATTCTGAGTCACTGGAGAGGATGTAATGAATGTTACTGTTGCTGGTCTCTATGAAAGAGCAAATCCTGGATTCAGGGCAATATTATGAGTGGTGAGGGGTTTTTTGGTTTTGTTTGGGGTTTTTTTGTGGGTTTTTTTTTGGCACGTCAAATATATATGGGCAAACTAGTCCACAGTGACAGTTAGGAACTAAATTGAGCTTGCATTAAGACAGCAGCAAAGAATTATCTAGAAGCAGTTTAGTGTACCATCCCCGGAGTCAAACGTGCTCTTTTTAAGTTAGAGGTATGTTAACTCTCTATTTGGAGTATTAATGTTTAAAACTTGATAAGCGAGTCACTCCTATACATGAATCGACTTCTTTTGATGCATAAATCGGATGCATTTTTTTTTTTAAGCTTTTATTTTTTTTGTGTGTTTCTGTCATGGAAAATACAGGTTTGATTGTTTCCCACTCTTGAATTTTTTCATTTGATCTCTTAATGATGTTTCCTTCATATTGAGTGATTTGTTGGAAAATATCTGTTAATATGCTGTTATGCAACATCAGCTTTCTGCTTAGTGTGATTTCCAGATTTTTATAACGAGACAAGTTTTCATTAAAACAGACATTATATGTAATGCGCTTCCTCAATTCTTTTGTCTTTAGTAACTCCTTTCAAATCTGCAGAGCTCTGCTAGATTCAGTGTGGTTTCATGGAGGTGAAGTTGTGCATCAGTGTCAAATTGTAGCATGAGGCACCTATTGTAGAGAGAAAAAGTGTGCATTTTCTATAGAAGGGTTAGTGTGTTTGCTCTTTTCGTATTTGCAGACATAAATGTAGCACTTGTGTGCCACTGGTCTCTTGGTGACAGATTTACTGTGATCTTTGTTACATCTGTCTGGCTATCTCATGGTGCTTGTCTGCTTTCAGCTGTTCAGGAACATTTTACATTGCACTGAAGTATTCTTTCTCTCACTCTTTTTTTTTTCCTCCTTGTGTCCATTATGGTTAATCACAAAGAACTGAATGGCAACTGAAGACTCATATTTTACTTCATGGTGTGATAGTCCCATATGTGGTCAGATGTTGCCTCCTTAAGGTGGTTGCCCACTTGTACTGTTCTTCCAGCTATTAATGTGTGGCTGTAAACTATAGGAGGGTGGACAATTTTGCTTGTGCATCTGGGCTTAAGTTGCATCTAGACTTCAGGCTTGAGTGGAGAAACTTTCTAGGGGGGGAAAGAGGTGTAAACTGGCTTTTAGGAGAGAAGAAGAAAGTGCACTTTGTTCCACTGAATGCCTGTGTAAATGAAGCAAAAAGATTTCAGTAAAAGCCTAAATGCCACTGCTTCTGCTTTTCCGCACAGTAAACAGTCACTGAAAAACCTGGAGAAAACCAAGGCTGTGTGTATATTTGCAAGTAGTTTGGTGTAACAGAAGTGAATGAGTAAATGGCAACAGTTGGTGACTATGGCCCTACATCTACCCTGTATTTAAGCTGTTAGTTTGTTTTACTTTGGACTAGATTTGCTGTGGTCTGCTGCACTGAATTTCTTTATCAAGTTGCATAGTTTGAACCTGTCTGAAGGAACTGTTTTGAATCCCCATGTTGCTGTTAGTAGTTGCAGTGCATCTGATAGGTTCCTCTAGTGGAGTTTCTGGTTTGGTTTCCTCTGGAATTTATATAATTCACGCATACCTAACTGCTCTGCCGACTGAACCAGGGGGTTGATAGGGGTTTCGACTAACTGCAGTTATAGAGAAGTCAAAGGCTAGTGCACTTAGAATATTTACATTCTTTTTCCTTCTGATATATCTGATAGCTTTTTATGACCTTTGAAACTTCACTTGGTTACATTTGAGAGGTGCTGTGCATAGGGCATGTATGAGATGTTACTGTAAGAAAAGTAGACCTAAGCACGAGCTAAGAAGTGAAGTTAAGGTGTCTTTGGGTATTGCCATTCAAGGATAAAGGAAAGGAGGACAGAAACTTGCAGAAGGCTCCCATGAAGAGGAAGGACTGAGAGAACTGGGGATGCAGTGCAGAAAACAACGTTGTAGTGGGTGCAGTTCTCCACCTGTAAGAGAAGTGTGTTCCTGAATCACTTGGAATATAGCTCTGTCATTTTCTGTTGCAGTCACATCGCATCGGACCTTGTGGGCCATACAACACGTGGCATTCAGTCAGTTTCATGCAGATTTGTTTAGTTTTCTGTCTGATCACACAAACCACAGAGGTGATTTCATGTGTTGTGGTGTTTGTTGCAGTTTGGCTCCCACTGAACCGAGGTGGAAAGCAGTTGGTGGATTAGTTGAGAACAAGAATACAATCTGCGACCCTTGGTATTACTTTGAGAGCCAAGGGGAATGAAGTAGATGACAAACCTTTGAGAGTAAGATATGGATGCTTGGTGCTGAGAGGCACCTTCTTTCTCTGTGCTGTTCAGACTAGTTTTTAGTGCTTACACAGCAAAATGTGAGAGGACCACTAAACTTTCAGTGAGAAGCTAACCCAGAAAGAGCTGAAGAGAGGTGGGCAAGATAGGAGAGTGGAGACAGTTTCGACTGCCTGCCAGATAGGAACAGCACAGCCCTTTTTTATAAAAGTAAAGGTTAACTTTGCCAGCTATATCTTTTAATAAGTATTTTTACAGTAGCAGTGTAAAGATTTTGATGTGCATTGTTATAGCTTAATTTCCCATTAAGAGTACTCCATACTCCATTAATCTACAGCAATGTTCTTGAGAAATTTTACAGTATCTCTGCAAAATATATTTATAAGGGATGCGTTCTGTGGAAGGTTCTGTTCACTAAATCAAAGCTGCTGAAAGCCATTTACTGACCCTGAGCCCTAGGATGCAAATAGTCTCTTCAGGTGCAGGGCTTCTAAACTTTTAATTATCTACCTGAAAGTTATCACTATCCACAAGTTCTGTTCTGCCTCGCAAATGTTTTCCCTGGTTTTCTAATTATTCTCTTTCCTGCCTGTGCCATCTTGTCTGTTTCTTTGTTGACTTGTTCCTTCCCTTGGATTGCCTTTGCATTTTTATCTTGACCAGAGCAAATCCAGCAGCAGAAGGCTTACAAATACTGATTCCTCCCAATGCTTCTGAAGAGGAGAGCTTTCTCTGCTGCCAGAAGCAATAGAAGCCATCTAGAGAAGTTCTCCCAAGCACTGTTTTTGTTGTAGCAAGAGCAATATGGATCATAAGCTGGAATTAACGATGCTGTTGCATATTTGAAATTCTACTTTATTTCTGTTAATGGTGCTGATTTGCTGTCGGGCACCCCAGAACTGTTTTCTCTTTGATAAGGGTGGGCAGAATGGAGAGCAACTGGGGAAGAACGTGACACATTGGTGGTCTCACAGCTAGTTTGTAGCCCTGTGGAGAACAGTGTCAGTACATTAGAATATTAAGCAAGAGTTGAGGAGGGTGCTACTGACAGCCTCACATTCTCTCATTTATCTTCCTGATCACAGTCAGTAATTAACACCAGTCTTTATATAAATCATTCTCTAGTCCTGCTGCAAGCACTCTATTAATGCACAATTTGGACTGAAAATTTAAATGCAGAAAGGTCACACAATGTTTTGTTAAGATTCTACTGTCACAGTGAAATCTGCTGTACACACCACTATCTACTTGCAGGCTTCTTTCTCATGGAAACTGATGGCTCTGCAAAATATTTGTTTTTTAAATATATATATATTTATATACACACATGCTTGTTAGATGATGTCTTTTACAATCAAGCTTATTACATTGTAAACGTGTTTTAATTGTATTACACCTGTATATTGTAATGGAACTTTGTAAGTGATAGGTGAAAACTAAGAGTTTTGAAACCATTTTTTGTAGCTGGCTTTGCAGCAGGTGTTTATGTGTTGCTGTTTGACTTTTATTTTTGTGTGTGGTGTCACAATATGGGAAGCTCAGGGAAGTACATACTGATAAAGCTTTAATTGGTGATAATTGTGCCCTGCTTGGAGGTCTGTCACCAGTATAGCCAGCGAACTCTCTTTTCCCCCCACCCCCCATTTTCCAAGAAGAGGCACAAGAATATCTGCTTGAACAGTAAACACTGATTAAACAGGTGAATATTGTCTTTTAATACCAGCAGCACAGGGAGCTCTGCTGCTGGTGGAGGTAGGGAAGAGGTGTGGTTGTGGCCTTTTGTGCTTTTAAGCTTGGACTGTAGTACCCTCCGCCGCTGATATTCTGAGGCCTGATATTCTGGGAATCAGGCTGAGGTGTGAAAGAAAGTTTGTCTCTATTTCAGAAAGAGTACTTTCCATGGATAATTTGTATAGCTGTGAGCAGGGGTGGGCATCTGTCAGGGAAGAGAAGCCTTGATGGAAGCACATTCTGTCATT